TTTGTTTACCAAGTCATGCAATGGTGCGGCAATTTTTGCAAAACCAGGCACAAATTTTCTATAATAGGAAGCAAAGCCCAAGAATGATCTGACCTCTACTGTAGTTGTTGGCTGTTTCCATTCTTTAACAGCTGCAATTTTATCTGGGTCAGTGGCGATGCCATCCGACGAAATCACGTAACCCAAAAAATGTACCGATTTCAGACCGAAGCAGCATTTGTCTGGGTTCAGCTTTACTCCTATCTCCCTAAGACGGAGAAACACTTGTTCTAATCTTTCTAGATGGTCCTCCCAAGTTTTTGAATAAACTAGTATATCATCCAAGTACACCAACATTATTTGAAATAGAAAGTCACTCATAGCACTCTGCATTACTCGCTGGAATGTAGCAGGTGCATTAGTTAGACCAAACGGCATACGGGTCCACTCGTACAGTCCCAGTGGAGAAATAAATGCAGTCTTATGTTGATCGTTGGGGTGCATGGCCACTTGGTGGTAGCCACTAGCCAAATCCAAGGTAGAAAAAAATCTTGCTCCCCCCAACGCATCAAGACATTCATCAATACGAGGCAAGGGGAATGCATCCCTTCTTGTGATATTGTTCAATTTCCGGTAATCACAACACAGCCTTATCTCCCCTGACTTCTTTTTTACCACTACTATCGGTGCCGCATACGGGCTCGTGCTGGTTGTAATAATTCCCTTTTTTAGTAGATCGTTCAGGTGTGCCTTCACCGCAGAGTAGTGACTCGGTGGTAATCTTCGATAAGGTTGCGCCACCGGCTTGTCTTGTAGTAAGGGTATCTGGTGTTTTATTACTTCCGTGTAACCCAAATCACCCTCGTACGAGGCAAATATATCCCTGTACTTATTCAACAATTCATTTAGTTTTGGGTCCTCAGTTTCCGGGAATGTATATGATCGGCCATCCTCTTTCTTCACCTCGGCCGTCACATTGACCGACCTAATTGTTACTTCATTACTGCTGGTATTGCTCAGTTCGATGCACTGTGCCGACCTTTGTACCTCGACGTTCTGTGGTACTCCTACCAGAGTATTAGGCGGTATAAAAATTTCCTCATCCAAAACATTTGCCACTAATCCTTGAACTAGTCCATTTTCCGCTGATGTGTATGTCCGCAGTAACACGACGCCTGCCCTCAGTGCGGTGCCACATGGTTCTATCATCACATCACCATTCACGCTTCTATCCCCAATTTGTAATGTGATTGCCTTGACCGTGTTTGCCGGGACTGATATCCTTCCTCTGGTCTTGGCAAACCTGGCCAACTTGGATCCCCGACCTGGTGTGGTCGATCCGACAATATTTGTAAGAAATTCTGGCAACTGGCCAAGAATATTCATGCCCAACAGGCAAGGTATATTTGACACATTTGTCTCTAGGTTGTGTTTCGTAACGAACACCCCAACCTGCTTCAACCTATGTCCCGCCACCACGACATCCGCCAGAAAATAACCACAGTAAGGAATGGTTAGTCCATTAGCTGCCGTCAGGCGCATGCATGTGTCAGACCTCAACCTCTGGTCTTTTCCTTTCGTCCATTTGGTGTAAAAATTTTCCGTGATTGTCGTCACCTGGGAGCCTGTATCCACAATTGCCTTCACCGCGATGTCCCCAATCGTAATCACCATTTCGGGACAGACTCCCATCATTTTGCTTCTTGGGCCATAACCTCGCCCCTCTGTAGCCTGGCCCTGCCTTACAGAGAACGACCGTTTCCCTGGCAGTACCGTGCCATATGTCCGGGTTGTGAACAGGACAAGCAAATTGGTCGACCGTCGGCCGTCCACCGGAGTGATGGACCGGCGGGTCGCGGCCGTCCAACCTGTCTCTGTTTTGTCCCGTTTTTTTCCTGATTCTCAGCTGTTGACCTGCTTTCCAACCTCTCCAATCTTTGGTTAACCTTATCCAGGTGGGCCAACAGTTGAGCCATCATGGTTTCCACCGTGCCGGTCCCCGTGGGTGGGGATTGTTTCTGTTCCGGCACAGAGACTTTGTCCACCGAACAGTTCGATTGGTCCTCATCCTCGGACCTGCGGATCGCTGAGTTCCTGACCTGAAGGAAGGTCAACTGCGGGTCTTTGTGGACCTCCTCTTTCAACTCTCTCCTTAAGATCGGGGTTGCTAGCCCCTCGATGAACTGGTCCCTCAGTAGGCGTACATCAATGTCAGGTGTTTTGCCCTTTACCGAATCAAAGGCCCTGTTTATTCGGTGTGAATACTCCATCACACTCTCCGCCATTCTCTGCTTTAAGCCTACGAACCCCGATAGCAGTTGCGATCCCGACCGTCTCTCCCCAAAGGTCTCCATAATTAGATCCAGCACCTTATCTGGATCTGATTGGACGGTTTTATCGTGGCATTTGACCTCTGCCCTAACCGTCTCTCCTATACTGCCCATCAGCAGTCTTAATCTTTCCTCTGGTGACATGTTTCTCGAGGCCCAGGTCGCTTTGACCTCCTCACTGAACCTGTTGGTTAAAGTTGGATCACCGTCCCCGTAAAATTTGTTAATGTGGGACTCTCTGGGCAGGACCACAATATGGGTCTGCTTCTCGTCCAGAGTAGACATTTTATTCCTTTAGTAAAAAAAAAGAGTTCTTTCTTACCGTGTGTGTATGAAAAAATTTTCCTCGTTCCTCAATTTTCACTGTTCCTGAATGTCCGAATTCACACACACACTAAACACAGTTATGAACTAGGTTGACTATGGGTGCCTAAAGCGGCAAGTCTCGTTGAATTCATCCTGATCGCAGCGCCAAATGTAACGAGTCCCCGAGTCTATCCTGCCGACAACGCCAAATGTAACGAGTCTCTGGCTACCCTGCCGACCACGCCAAATGTGACCTTCCCGAGTCTAACCACTCATTCCACACAACATTGACCACAGCATAGATACTCGAAGATGCAGGTTCATTATTGATCCTTTTATTACATGAATCAAAGAATGTTTCACAATAATATAATGAATCAAGAGAGATGTTTCACAATAATAGTCTGAATCAACGGACCCCCAACAGTCCTCACTAGGCTTCATATAACTGAATACACATGTCTATTGTCCTTCTTAACACAATACGGCTAACCCGTTCTATAACCAACTTGATACTGCCACACAGACTGACTGATCGAGAGCGGGCGAGAGAGTCAGAAAGCCAGCGAGTTCAGCCGTCGCCCTCCTATATCCCCTTCATAATCGTACTCATATTCGGTCCTATCATACTCGTAATCGTAATCGTTGCATTACGCCGCTTCTGTTGTACAGTCCGATTTAATAAGCCATCTGCATCCTGTCACATCAAAGTTGACAGACCGTTCTTTCGTATCGCTTCCCGAGATATTACGCCTTGGCTTTCTGATCGTTATCAGCCACCACCTGTGTTATTGCATCAGTCGTGTCAAAGCTGACAGCGCTGTACCGCGTTCTTATGTCTCTGGTGTAACTTCCCCTAGTTACATATATATATATATATATATATATATATATATATATAATCAAATAGAATTTTATAATGATCTCAAACTTTATCTTATATAAACTGATATTTATCTGCGTTTTATCAAAACAAAAACAACCGAAGTCTTGGCACAACAAAAAAGATCAAATTCTACTCAGTTGATGAAAGATTGGTCCCCTACTGGCAGAAAGAGAATGATTCAAAACAGAGCTGTCACGCTTGGTGTATTGTCAGGATTTCTGGTTATAGGAGGTAGGTCATTTGGTGTGGTATTATAGGTGGTAGGTCATTTGGTGTGATATTATACGAGGAAGGTCATTTGATGTGGTATTATAGGTGGTTGGTCATTTGATGTGATATTATAGGTGTAGGTCATTTGATGTGGTATTATAGGAGGTAGGTCCTTTGGTGTGGTAATTATAGTTGGTAGGTCATTTGATGTGATATTATAGGTGTAGGTCATTGGATGTGGTATTATACGAGGTAGGTCATTTGAAGTAATATTTTAGGATGTAGGTCGTTTGATGTGGTATATTATTAGAGGTAGGTCATTTGATGTGGTATTGTTGGATGTAGGAGGTCAGTTGATATGATATCACTTGAAGTAGATCATTCTGTATGATTTAATTGGGACTTATTTGAAATTATTGGGTGATTTCTAACTTGATGTGATAAATTTAAGATTCTTAATTTCGTTTGATATTATTGGAATGGAAAAACAAAAATCTGATCTAGTTCATTTAAAAACTTCAGAATTGTAAAAAAAAATTAGTTTGCCTTTTTTCTAAATTGTTTTTTACAAATCATTAAAATGTAAAAAGATAAGAAACTTAACGTGTGTTATGATAAAACTATCCTTATCTTATTTGTTCTTTCGGCGCAAATCGATTGTTCGTGAAGTTTTTTTTTTGTTCTTGCAGCACGCATTCTTATCACTACCCGCACATTACATTTAAAAAATGTCTATACTTAGATATTCTTGCAATTCGATATGCACTTACCGTCAATGAATTACAACATTTAACACATATTTGACCACAACGAAATAGAGTAAGTGATGCCGAAGCTTCTAATTTAAAAAATTCTCAGCAGTTAACTTTAAATTTCGTTCTTAACTTTTTAAGCTATAATTATTCACGTATATATTTATTAGGAGTGTGAGATTGAAATGAAGCCCAACTTGGTTTATTTGTACAAATATAATAACCTAATCAAATACATCAGGAGTTTTTTTCATAATTTACTATCATCAATGTGAGTAACAAAAAATTCTAAAAACAAGATTTAAAAAGTGACTAACTCTAATTTGCCTGGCTATTTGGATACTGTAGTGGACATTTGTCATTTTGTCCATCCAGTGAACATTTGCCATTCTAGCTCTGTAGTGGACGTTTGCAATTCTGTCCCTGTTGTGTTTAATTCTCCACTGTACCCGTTTGATCACTGTACTTAACATTAGCCACCAAATTTTTCGATAACTTGTAACAGAATCAGACTTTAGTGTACCATATATTTATTGCAGTACATAGTCCCTGGGATACTTGGCTTTGTAGCTGCTTTTGTCCAGAAGAAATGTATGGTGAGTTGTGCATTTTTCGAAATCTCCGTTTTTAAAAATACATGTAGTACCTAGCTTGCAAATAATTTCTACGTATGAATGTAATTTTTTTTTAAATTTATTAATCGTTTGTTTTCTGTATATATACAGATTTAAAGTATCGTGTATAAGTTTATATATATATATATATATATATATATATATATATATATATATATATGCATATTATTTCAGTATATTATAGCCTTGGTTTTCGGCATTCTGTTTTTGACTGCAATGGCGATTGTAAGTTTGCTCCTTGGAATTATAATACCTACTTTGATATTTGCCAACAGCAGATATAAATTAAACTGCAGGTTGGTGCCATTTCATCCTCTGTCTTCTCTTGTCAACTTTGAGATCAAGTTCTGAGATATTTTTCGTCCATTTTCACAGCTTGATTGATTTGAACGACCAGACTTGTGAGAACTTCCAAGAACTCCGCAAACACTTCATCGCCATGTGCGTGATGGTCGTCCTTACCTGGATGGTTCTGTTAGTCGTCTTTATATTATGCTGCTATTACACCTGTTGTTCTAAGGTAAGTAATCCACATGAGAAAGATTGTGTAGCAAATAATTACGTGAACAAGGCACGCTATATTAGAATGGTTGTATTGACGACTCGGACATTAAATGTGAAATCGGGGCAAACCTTGCTATGTTTGAAAACACATTAATTATTTTAAGTCTGAGCTAGACGATCACTTAGATATAGCTTAGGTTAAAGGGTGAGGTAATCTATAGTAGAGTTCTCTGTCTAGTCTTGTCTGTGAACTTGTGTGTAATCTTGTGTGGGATTGTGGGGTAATAGTTTAAGTTCTTGTATTTGGGCTTGTGTGTGGATTTGTGTGTGGGATTGTGGGGTAATAGTTTAAGTTCTTGTATTTGGGCTTGTGTGTGGATTTGTGTGTGGGATTGTGGGGTAATAGTTTAAGTTCTTGTATTTGGGTTTGTGTGTGGATTTGTGTGTGGGATTGTGGGGTAATAGTTTAAGTTCTTGTATTTGGGCTTGTGTGTGGATTTGTGTGTGGGATTGTGGGGTAATAGTTTAAGTTCTTGTATTTGGGCTTGTGTGTGGATTTGAATTTTACATTGTGTGGACTTGTGTGATTATGTACTTGATTACGTTTTGTCAGTGACGTAGCTAGGGGAGGGCGGGTGGGGCGGCTGCCACGGGCGCCAAACCCAAGGGGATTCAAAGGGGTAGAAAAATTAGTTTTAAATCTCATTTAAAGCTGAAATATCGATTAATAAGCTTTATATATATATATATATATATATATATATATATATATATATATATATATATATATATATATATATATATATATTCCATAAACACATTTACATTTTATTCCAGAGCACGACTTCACCTGGCGTTGTCGTCCAGTCAGGACCCCAGACGAATATTTCTGTCAGTCAAGTTTCACAGCAACAAAATTCTCAGGCATATCTCGCCCCAGTGAACACAGTACCAGCATATGGCGGCCCACAGTATGGGCAAAATGTATACGGCTCTCCACATTATGGGCAAAATGGCTACATCCCTTCAGATGGACCAAACGGTTATGTCACCCATGAACTACCTAATGGGCAAATCTGGTTCCCTGTTGAACAAAAAGGGTTCCTATAGCGGCCAAACCCAAACGCCCCACTTGAGCATGTTACACCACTCGTGGTGTTTTGCCTACTTCAACACTTCAAGATGTAACTAAACAAAATTTTATTTCATACCGGTGGGAGAAAGAGATTGAGAAATTAAATCATTGACATACTTCTCGTTTTATGGTCATTTCAATATAGCTGATTTTATTTTAAAATTTAATATGCATAAAAAATTAGCATTAATTTTCCAGGACAATCAGGGCTTTAAAAAGAATAGCCGGTGAATTATTTCTTACTCTGTATATATCCCCAACCAGACTGTAACACAAGAGGTAGAAATGGGCTGTATGCCTGGATGGACGTTTACCAAACTGCGACAATGTTTTGAAAAATCCAAACACTGATAGTCAGGTGACTAAAGGACAGTTGCCTGTAATATTATACAGTATCGAAACTCGTGCAAATTATTTTTAACGAGCCGACCCGCGGCATATCATACGCCGCTATTTAGTTGTTGTTTTTTCTACTTTTCAGTAATTCATAATTTGTGAATTCGACACTACCAACGCTGCCACTGAAAATATTTCTTTAAAACACTATAAGTTAATAGTAGCTCGTTAAGGACGATACCCCCCCCCCCCCCCGTGAAAGCAGCCTCCTCTTAGTTACCTCCTGTAAGTTTAAAATCGTTTCAAACTAAATTATCTGCCCCTAATAGCCGTCACTAAACCCGGCTCTACGATTTGTAAACATTTAATTTAGCGTGAACATAACTCACCAGACCATGTGGGGGTGGGGTGGGGGTGGTAGTGATAGTGATAGAGAGAGAGGGGACTGTAAGGAGGCGCTTGCAGCTTGTTTTCTAGCGGCTCCCAGAAGAGAATTATATATATAGATTCTTTTTTTTTAAATATATTTTTAAGTGTGATATAAAAAGTGGAGTGTACATCGAAGGGGAGAAGCCAAAGATAAACAAATTACAACCAGCTGAGAAGAGTTAAACACATTTGAAATCATTTACACTGTTGATTTGATCGTGTGGCTTAGTATAATAAATGTACAATTCTATTCAACGTGCATTGCTTCTTTATTAATAGGTATACTACTTCAACACGGAACAGCGTGTCCTAAGCTGTAGAGCGCTAGGCTGCTAATCTCGAGTTTGAATACGTAGAACGTCCCTGAGTCCACTCAGGTCTGATGGGTACCTAACTCATGTTAGAGAAAGTAAAGGCGGATGACCACACCTTCCCTTTATATGCTGAGGTCAATAAACATAAGAAATCTACTTCATCCACCCAATGGATCGCAAGGTCTAAAGAGGATTCTTTACTTTATTTTACTTCAACATTATATTAATTGCAAAACAGTGAACTACCAATTAGGAAAATGTGAACAATACATTTATGTTATTTGACATAAGGGTTAAGTGAAGGGAGTAGACGTACGTGTGTACATGTGGGGAGAGTGGTTTATGTGGCATAGTACAGCTGATATAAACATTGGCTACGCTCGTCTGTCTGTCTGTGTGTCCGTGACTAGAAATATTTAAGCTATTCAAATAGGCGAGGGAGTTATCAACGATACCCTTGAATCAAGTCTGGTCTAATTTGATGAAATTATCATTTATTTTAATTCCATCCATAAAACCGTATCCTTGGAAACGGACTAGACAATTGAAACACTCGGGGATTTTTTTCGTGTTTTTTTACGCCATTATTGGAGGTCTTTGCGGATTGTGTACATAATGTGTGTATGGTGAGTGGTTTTTTTTTCGTGCAATACAATGCGTATATACATAAGTAAATACTTTCAGGGTTCACAAATAAATAGAGTTCAGAACATGAATTTAACCGAGTTTGTATAGCCAACTTAATTCCTCAGCAAATGCACACAACTGGCCGTAGAAGTTGTAATGTGGTATCCTACATATGAAGGTTAAACGCTGAAGAACTCGTAAGTTTTATGAATTTTTTTCTATTGAAGTCACGCAGCGATATTTTCTTTACAATGAAATTTCTAGCACATTGTTGTTATACAAGACGAGCTCGTGTCACACATTGCTGTTGTTCAATATCGAGTCATATAGTTGTTGTAGAATATGGAGTCATATAGTTGTTATACAATATGGAGTCATATAGTTGTTGTAGAATATGGAGTCATATAGTTGTTATAGAATATGGAGTCATATAGTTGTTATACTATATGGAGTCATAAAGTTGTTGTAGAATATGGAGTCATATAGTTGTTGTAGAATATGGAGTCATATAGTTGTTATACAATATGGAGTCATATAGTTGTTATAGAATATGGAGTCATATAGTTGTTATACAATATGGAGTCATATAGTTGTTGTAGAATATGGAGTCATATAGTTGTTGTAGAATATGGAGTCATATAGTTGTTGTAGAATATGGAGTCATATAGTTGTTATACAATATGGAGTCATATAGTTGTTATAGAATATGGAGTCATATAGTTGTTATACAATATGGAGTCATATAGTTGTTGTAGAATATGGAGTCATATAGTTGTTGTAGAATATGGAGTCATATAGTTGTTGTAGAATATGGAGTCATATAGTTGTTATACTATATGGAGTCATATAGTTGTTATAGAATATGGAGTCATATAGTTGTTATAGAATATGGAGTCATATAGTTGTTATACAATATGGAGTCATATAGTTGTTATACTATATGGAGTCATATAGTTGTTATAGAATATGGAGTCATATAGTTGTTATAGAATATGGAGTCATATAGTTGTTATAGAATATGGAGTCATATAGTTGTTATAGAATATGGAGTCATATAGTTGTTATAGAATATGGAGTCATATAGTTGTTATAGAATATGGAGTCATATAGTTGTTATAGAATATGGAGTCATATAGTTGTTATACTATATGGAGTCATATAGTTGTTATAGAATATGGAGTCATATAGTTGTTATAGAATATGGAGTCATATAGTTGTTATAGAATATGGAATCATATAGTTGTTATAGAATATGGAGTCATATAGTTGTTATAGAATATGGAGTCATATAGTTGTTATAGAATATGGAGTCATATAGTTGTTATACAATATGGAGTCATATAGTTGTTATACAATATGGAGTCATATAGTTGTTATACAATATGGAGTCATATAGTTGTTATAGAATATGGAGTCATATAGTTGTTATAGAATATGGAGTCATATAGTTGTTATAGAATATGGAGTCATATAGTTGTTATAGAATATGGAGTCATATAGTTGTTATAGAATATGGAGTAATATAGTTGTTATAGAATATGGAGTCATATAGTTGTT